ATGTGGTGCTGGAGGATTGAACTGCGGTCCCTGTGCTTTGCCAAGCTTGTTCCAAGTAGGTGCTTTAGACCACTGAGCCATCTCTCCAGCCCCAATTCATTCTTTCATATTCTGTGAGTTAGTGGAAACTGCATTGCTGATTTTTTTTTTTTTTTGGTGGTACCAGAGATTGAACTCAGGACCTTGTGCTTGCCAGGCAAGCACTTATTCCACTGAATTATCTCCCCAGCCCCGCACTGCTGATTTTTCTGGGTGACCTGAGGAGAGTTAATTTTGTGTGTGTGTGTGCTTGTCTTGAAGCCAGGAGCTCATACATGCAAGCAAGCACTCGGCCACTGAGTTGCACCCCCACCCCTTTAACTTATTTATCTGAAGAACAGTTGTTTGGCTTAAATGAGATCTTCACATTGTGAAATTTAAGTGAAATAAAGGGGAAGTACTTAAAAAACATAAGACACTAAAAATGTAATATATTACTATTGGGAAAAGTGAGTATTCAGTCAGTTATATACCAGGGCACCAGGTGTTCTTGTCAGTCCCCTTTGCAACAACATTAGCACTGTTTATCTTCTTGCAGCTGGAAATGCAAAACAGTTTGCTTTTCCCACAAAAAATTCAGTCAGATTCTTAATTATGGAAGACTTAGATTTACATTCTATCGTTATTATTTCTACTATGGCTGCTGACATGCTGTACATATTCTGAGCTATAGCTTCATCCCCTATCCTATCTGGTTTCTAGCAGCAATCCCATCGTTGTATAATTTTATTCCTTTTCCTCGTTTTAGATGGCCACGGTCTCCCCTTCAGGTGGTAGCAGTCTTGTAAGTGTGGAACACTGAGCAGGAGCTTTGCCATTGGCTGGCCAAGAAGGAAGAGGTAGAATGCTTGCATTGTTACACCGTTCGGTTCAAACTTCGGAAGACTTGGGTTAAGCAGCATCGTTTCCTCTGCCAGTGATCATGCCTTCACCAGCCCTCTCTGATCATCCCAGGCTGATGATGCGTGCTGTGGATTTTATGAATTCACCTCACGCTGTTTTCCACATGCCCTGGCAGCCGGTACAGGTGAGACTGGGTTGAATTTTGGGGGGATGTTAGAAGGGAAAGAACCCATCTTGCCTTTTCCCGAGTACTTGCTGTTTTACATAAACATCCCATAAAAATTATTATTATTAACTAGCCAGACATAGTAGCATGCACCTGTAACGCTATCTATTTGGGAGGCTGAGTCAGGAGGATCACAGATTTGAGCCCAACCTGGGTAATATAATGAGACTGTTTCAAAATGAAAGAATAAAAGTTTTTTTAAAAATTGAAAGGACTGGGGATGGAGCTTAGTGCAAAGGCCCTGGGTTCAATTCCTAGTGCTCAAAAAAAAAAAAAAAGAGAGAGAGAGAGATTAGGTTAACTAAATTTAGTTGTTGTATAGAATAGGACTAATGTGGAGAAATACTTTGTATTATGGTTTCTGTCTAGTTGTCCCCTCAAAGCCTCATGCAGTGATGGGGCAGACTTCTAGATTTTGTGATTAATTCATGATCCAGTGCGAGGATTATGGGTGTGAGTGCTACACCTGCCCTGGGGTCGATAGCCTGAATGCAACTGAAGGGAGACAGACTTGCTCTCTGTAGCCATCGTTACTGATGGTCCTGCCATTTGGCTCTTCGTTCTTTGTTGCTGCCTTGAATGGCTGCGCTCTCTGCCATGTGCTACCCTGCCTTGGTGCCAGCTGAGTGTGGACTCAAACCTCCACTGACTGTGAGCTAAATAAACTTTTCCTTTCTTCATTTTGGCTGTCGAGTATTTTGTCCAAGCGATGAGAGAAGAGTAACCAAACACTTTGGATGAGATGCCCAAAATATGAATCAATTAAAAAGCAAAATAAGGGATGGGGAGATAGCTCAGTGGTCTTCTAAGTGCCTGCCTGGTAAGCTCAAGGACCTGGATTCAATCCCTGGTACTGCATGCCATGTGAGCCCTGAACCTTGGGCACCTAATGCAAGCCACCGAAACTGGGCATTTTGGCACACACCTGTAATCTCAGAGCTGAGGAGGCTGAGAAAGGAAAATCACTGCAAGTTTAAAGCCAACCTGGGCTGCATTGTTCAAAACTAGCCTGAACACAAAGTGAGACCTGGCGGGGAGGGAGAGGGAGAGACTTTGGTTGACACAGTGGGACTTTTTTTAAAATCTATTTGGTGGTTGTAGTGTCTCACTACACAGCTCTGACTTGATGATCCTCTTACTTCCAGTATCCCCAGCACTAGGATTACATGCTTGCACCACCACACCCCGACTCTAGCTGGCTTAGCCCGCCCTAGAGGCAAGGCTGGTGCAGGATGTGATGCCAGGGATTGAACCACGGTCCTGCACTTTGCCTAAGCTTGCCTAAGCAGGCACTTTAGTCCACCGAGCTATCTCGCTGGCCCTACAGGGTTTTCTAAAAAATATACAAATAAGGAAAGCAAAGTTTTTTTCGTTTTTTTTTTTGTTGTTGTTGTTGTTGTTGTTGTTGTTTTTTGGTGTTGTTTTTTGGCAGAACCAGGGATTATACTCAGGCCCTTGCACTTGCAAGGCAAGTGCTTATTCTACTGAGCTATCTCCCAGGCCCCCTTTGTTTTGTTTTAAAAATGAATGTATGAGGGGCTGGTGAGATGGCTCAGTGGTCTAAAGCACCTACTTAGAACAAGCTTAGCAAAGCACAGGGACTGTGGTTCAATCCCCCAGCACCACATGCCAGCCAGCCCCGCCCTCTGGTGGGCTGAGCTGGCCACACACACACACACACACACACACATAAATAAAATGAATAGAATAGTTGAATAGTTAAAAAAAAAAAAAATGAATGTATGAGGGCCAGACAGATAGCTCAGAGGATTAAAGTGCCAGGGGCCCAGAGTTCGATCCCGGGCCTGCCATGCCACCCTGTCCCCGGGGCACATTGAGACTGGGTGTGGTGGTGCACACCTGTAATCTCAGCTCTTGGGAAGCTGTAAACTAGCAGATCACTCTTGAGTCCAATCTAGTAGTGAGACCTGAACACCCTGTAAACCCTTCCCTAAAAATACAAAAAACAAAACAAAACAAAACAAACAAAAAAACCCCACAAATATATGTTGTTTAATGGTTTGATTTGAAGATGTTGGAGAGCTTCTTTACATTTTATTTTCTATACTAAATATCATAAATGACTTTTTGTATTTTAGGGAAGGATCTACAGGGTATTCAGGGTCTCACTACTAGATCGGACTGGTAGTGATCCGCCTGTTTATAGCCTCCCAAGAGCTGGGATTACAGGCAAGAGTCACCACATCCAGTCTCAATTGCTATCTCAGCGTGTCCTGGGGGCAGGGCTGGCACAGCAGGCCGAGGGATTGAACCCCAGCCCCTGCGCCTGTTTGCAGGTGCTTTAATCTGCTGAGCTATTTGGCTGGCCTTCTCATGAATGACTTTTAACTGTGTGTGTATGAATACACTCATGCTGAGGGACTTGTCTTTCTAGGGCCTGTGAAAAATGGAACCAAACTCTCTTCGGACTAAAGTCCCAGCCTTCTTATCTGATTTGGGGAAGGCCACTTTGAGGGGAATCAGAAAGTGTCCCCGCTGTGGCACATACAATGGAACCCGGGGACTGAGCTGTAAGAACAAGACCTGTGGGACCATTTTCCGCTATGGTGCACGGAAGCAGCCTAGTGTTGAAGCTGTCAAAATCATCACAGGTTCCGATCTGCAGGTCTACTCAGTTCGGCAGAGAGACCGCGGGCCTGATTACCGATGCTTTGTGGAGCTGGGTGTTTCAGAGACGACAATCCAGACCGTGGATGGCACGATCCTCACTCAGTTGAGTTCTGGACGGTGTTACGTTCCCTCCTGCTTGAAGGCTGCCACCCAAGGTGTTGTGGAAAACCAGTGCCAGCATATCAAGCTGGCAATGAACTGCCAGGCGGAGGCCACTCCTCTGACCCTGAAGAGTTCAGTCCTGAACGCCATGCAGGCCTCCCCGGAAACCAAACAGACCATCTGGCAACTGGCCACCGAACCCACGGGTCCACTGGTACAGAGGGTCACCAAAAGCATCCTGGTGGTAAAATGCAAGGCAAGCCAGAAGCATAGCTTGGGGTATCTGCATACATCCTTTGTGCAGAAAATCAGTGCCAAAAGCTTACCTGAGCGTCGCTTCTTCTGCTCCTGCCAGACTCTGAAAACGCCCAAGTCGAGTGCCTGTAAGGATGACGCAGCCCAGAGATGCATTCATTTCTTTGCTTGCATTTGTGCCTTTGCCAGTGATGAGACGTTGGCTCAGGAATTCTCAGACTTCCTCAATTTCGATTCCAGCGGTAGGTGGTATGAGTGACACAGTTACTCCTTTTTCTAAAATGGTGATGAAGGAGTTCCTCTGATGCTCTTGGAGATGGTCCTAGAAACCTTCAGAAACAGTCTTTAGATGGTTCAGGTGAAAAGCGTTTCTTAAAAAAACCGAAGAAACACGTTTCTTCATTTACCCCAATCTGCACCCTTGGTTGATTGGTTTGTGGTTGGATTGTTGAAATTAATGATCAAGAGACTGGGGCCAGGGAGATGGCTCAGTGGAATAAGCGCTTCCCTGGCAAGTGCAAGGGTCTGAGTTCAATCCCTGGTTCTGCCAAAAAAAAAAAAAAAAAAATCAAGAGACTTAGATATTGTTATAGAGATTATGAATCTAGCAAAATTAGCTTTACCTTGATTTTGTTGTTCCACAGATGACCTACATTAACAAAAACCAAGAGCAACAACAAAAAAAATCTCTTTATTTTGGTGGGTTTTTTTTTTTTAATTAATTTAGGTTAGGGTCTACAGGGTCTCACTACATAGATTGGACTTGTAGTGAACCACCTGTTTTCAGCCTCCCCAGCACTGGGATTACAGGCCTGTGCCACCACACCTCTACTTAGTGGCCAGCTCCGTGTGCTGGGCTGGTGCAGGGCATATGGTGCTGGGGATCGAATCCTGGTCCCTGCGCTTGCCTAAGCAGGCACTTAGTCCACTGAGCTTAAGTCTTTTGTTGTCATGTAAATTTATTTATTTATTTTTAGTACAGGATCTACAGGGTCTTACTACACAGGTCGTACTCAGTGATCCTCCTGTTTTCAACCTCCCAAGCGCTGGAATTATCTGCCCATGCAACCATGCCCAGTCTCAATTGCCATCTCAACGCGCCCCGGGGGCAGGGCCAGCACAGCACACTGGGATCGGACCTGGCCACTGCAGCCCTGGCCACTGCATTCTGCCTAAGCAGGTGCTTTAATCCGCTGAGCTATCTGGCTGGCCCTCATTGAAATCTTTTTGTCTTGTAAATATTTTTTTTCTTTTGGTTGTACTGGGAGCTGAACCCAGAAAATTCACACTAAGCTACAGTCTCAGCCTTTTGATTTGTTTTATTTTCTGACAGGATCTTATTAAACTGCCCTGGTTTAAGCTCAAATTTGCTATTCCCATGTCTCAGCCTCCAGAGTGCTGTGATTACAGCCCTGCATCACCACACCCAGAACACCATAACACTTAATTTTTGTTCTTAAGGATTTTATGTTTTATACAGAACTTCTCTTTTTCCTTTTTTTAAAATCAGAGCTAGGCATTCTTACTGTGGCTTGTAGCGTTCCTCCTCTCCAGCCTCCTGGACTGTACCCCCTCATCTCTCTTACTCTTTTTTTTTTTTTTTAATTTATTGATTTATTTCTTTTGTGTGTGTGTGACCATTCAGCCCACCAGGGGGTGGGGCTGGCTGGCATGTGGTGCTGGGGATTGAACCGCGGTCCCTGTGCTTTTGCTTAGCTTGTTCTAAGTAGGTGCTTTAGACCACTGAGCCATCTCACCAGCCCTCATCTCTCTTACTCTTGACTCTTCCACCCAGCCTTGGTGGTGGTATATATATTTTTTTAAAAAGGTGGGGGGAGAGGGGCCAGGGAGATGGCTCGGTAGAATAAACACTTCCCTGGCAAGCACAAGGGCCTGAGTTCAATCCCTGGTTCCACCAAAAAAAAAAAAAAAAAACAATCACACAAAATGAAAATTGGGGTCAATGGCAAAGGGGGTATATGTTGCAAACAAATGTTTAATAACAGATGGCTGTAATCACTCCTTGCCATGTCTGGTAATGAAACTAAGAAGAAAAAAAAAACCTACTACTGAATAAAAGTGACAAAGAATGGAGAAAAAAATAAAAAATAAAGGGGCTGGTGAGATGGCTCAGTGGTCTAAAGCACCTACTTAGAACAAGCTTAGCAAAGCACAGGGACTGCGGTTCAATCCCCCAGCACCACATGCCAGTCAGCCCCGCCCCCTGGTGGGCTGAGCTGGC